CTCCTTGCCCTGTATCACTCTCATTTATCCCTATCTCACCTATGGAATCTGTGCATGGGGGTCAACAACAATAAATCATCTCAGACCATTAATTACCCAGCAAAAGGCTGCAGTCAGAATGATGATAAATTCCCACTCCAGACAGCACACTCCACCAATATTCAAAGTCTATACTTACTCACCATACAAAACATCCATACTTATTATTGTGCCTACTACATACAAAGAACATTAAACTCAGATATAAACCCTCCCCTCAAACTTCTCCTTACCAACCTTAACAGAACACATGACCATAACACAAGACACAGATCACTCTTTGATGTTCCCAGTGTCCATCTCACACTGTAAAAACTCAATCCACATAAAAGGCCCAAAAATTTGGAATTCTTTACCAGTGAATACCAAAGAAACTCTGTCTGTATATCAATTCAAGACTTCTTAACCCTTTCAGGGTCCGTCCCGTAGATCTACGGCTTCACGTTGAGTGTTCAAACCGTAGATCTATGCCAAAATTCTAGCGCCGTCAAATTTAGTGCGAAAATGCTCATAGGCCTACATCTGAGAGACTGGGTCTGCGTGGTGGGTGTGCGTCATAAACAAAAAATCTAGGCGCCTGCATAGCATTGTGGGAATGCCGGTTCAGTTACCCTTGTTCACCATGCCTCATCGCAAGGCAGCTCTCACTCCAAGGAAAATTGGGACTCTTCTGTTCCTATCTGATAGTTCTGACAGTGATGGAAGTGGAAATGAAGACGAATTCTTTGGCTTTGATCAGTTAGTGACCGAAAGGAATGACCAGGTTATTGATAATAGTGCAGAAAACCTTGACGATCCTCAACCTTCTACCTCTGGTGTGGGCACTCGTCAGTCATGGTCGGTTGTACCTCAATGCAAGAGAAAACTATTATTTTCGCGTGGCCAGGCCTCTGACTTCAGTAATGATGATGATAGTGACGTGGGTTGTGATTTTATTGCTCTTGACGATCATTCAAGTAGTGAGGAATCATATTCACCAGTGAAGCATCGGTATGTATGCCGCCGCATGTGCTCAGGTGGTGTACCCTATGTCGTGCCCAGGGGATGGAGTACATCCCGGAGTACATCCCGTGGCCCTACACCAGGTATAGATAGTGATAGTGAGGATGATGTGGCTACACTTGGCATGGATAGACCACAGGCATCAGTAGATGGTGGTAGTGGTGATGGTAGTGCCACGGCCGTGCGTGACTCACCAGCCCAGGCTGGGACCCACGCTGACTCCGCAGTTCAAGGACAAAGCGGAGCATCAGCCACCAGCCCACCACAACTACCCGCACAACCAGCCTATGATGTCCAGTATCCACCAGCAAACCGTATCTGGGATTGGCAGCAAAATCCCAATTTTGTTCCCAAGTGGAATTCTACCAACTTGTCCCCTTGGAAACACTGCAAATGAATTGGAATTCTTTGAGCTATTCTTTGACCAGCCATTGATGGAAACTATTGTCAGGGAAAGTAATAAATATTTTGAGTACACCATGGCAAATACGATCATATCACCACAGTCAAGACTACACCGGTGGAAAGAGATGACTGTTGCAGAAATGTATTTGCTTTTTGCAACAATAATGCTTATGCCTCATGTCTATAAGCATAATATAAAAGCATACTGGTCCACAGATCGGCTAATTTCTACCCCATTCTTCAGTGAAATCATCCCAATGAACAGGTTTATCTTACTGTTACGTATGTTGCACTTCTCTGACAAAACCAGGCCTGACAAAAGTGACAGGTTATACAAGCTTAGAAATGTTTTTATGTATCTCAAACAAAAGTTCAGCATGTACTTTTATCCATTCAAGAATCTTGTATTTGACGAGTCTTCGATTTTGTTCAAAGGTAGGCTGTCATTCAAGCAGTATATACCAAGCAAGAGGAAACGCTTTGGTATAAAACTTTTTGTACTCTGTGACTGTGACAGTGGCTTGGTATTGGATATTGTTGTATACACGGGAAGTAAAACATTGAAAGATACCAAGATGTTATTGGGTATCTCAGGTGGCGTAGTGAGAAGCATGATGACACCTTATCTTGGTAAGGGGCATACATTATATACCGATAACTGGTACACAAGCCCATTACTCAGTGATTTCTTGCGAGTGAACAAGACAGATGTGTGGGGCACAGTGCGTTCTAATTGTAAACATATGCCCAGGCTCAACGCAGGTGCTCGTGGTGATGACGTGCAGGTGTTTACTGCCAATGACATCATGGCATTACGGTGGCATGACAAACGAGATGTCACATTGTTGACAACTATTCACCGTAATGAAATGCAAGACAGTGGCAAAGTTGATCGAGTGACTAATGAACGTATTCGAAAACCAGTGACAGTGATTGATTATACACAAAACATGCACTTGGTTGACAAATGTGACATGCAGATTGGCTTTGTTGACTGTGTTCATAAAAGTTACAAGTGGTACATGAAACTTTTCTTCCATCTCATGGACATTTCAATGCTCAATGCATATAATATGTACTAAATGAAGACTGGCAACAGACCACCGTATGGTGAATTTTGTTTGTCTGTTGTCAGACAACTCATAATGAAGTACCAGGTAACAACACCTGCTATACAACAAGGTCCTCGAACTCCTCAGGATATACCCAAGCGTTTGAGGAGGGAAGGTGATTATTTCATAATACAGCTTCCTTCAACTCAAGAGAAATTTGCTCAGAAGAGATGCATCGTCTGTGCACAAACAAAACGACGGCAACAAAGACTCAAAGACACTTGGTTTATGTGTGAGGAATGTAAGGTGCCTCTGTGCATGGTGCCTTGTTTTAAGGAGTTCCACAAGCTCCAGCAGTTCTAAAACCATGTCCAGTGATTGTAAATATGTAAATATATCATAGAACATTAGTATTATACAAGATTTGTGCATGTTTATTGTAATAAACAACAGTGGTAAACAATAATATGATAATAACTTTAGTGCAGTTAGTGTTCAATACAGTGAGTTTATATATATACATTATATACAGTATTGATCTCTCAGGCCCCAAATGTTAGTAGGAAAAGAAAAAAATTAGAAAAGAAAAAACTACAAAAAACGGTAAACAAAGTAATATGCATATCTGGAAATCGTCGCCGTTGCCACCACCACGTCATTTGGGGTCAACTTCTCGGCACTGTAACTCGGTAAGTACTGATCAGAAAAAAATTTTTTTGTCTTATTACCTTCACAAAAATATACTCTTTAATTCTATAAAAATTTAATTTTTTTTTTTTTTTTTCAAAATTTCTTGGACACTGGAGCACCACTTCAGATTTTAGCCTTGGACCCTGAAGGGGTTAAAAACCACCTCCTCACCTAAAACTAATTACACAGTATTTAACTTTACCTACATAGTTAACAAATCACTTTCTACTGCCTCAAAATATCAATATGCACTGTGTTACTCCCCTAGCCTTAGGATCCCATAATTAAATGCTCACAGATCAATAAATTCTCATATCTAACCTAATGCAAATATTAAATAACATATCTCATAAATGTATAACCCAGTTGTATAATTAGAGAAACCTTATCAAACTATGTTTTTATAGCATTACCTAATAGAATAATCCCTTCTCTTGAATGCACTGTAACTCATCTAACGACCATATGAACTGTTACTGCCCTACAGATCATTGAATTTATTTGATTAGATCTGATTATTAAATTATACGGCTACATATAGTAAATTGATCATTTTGTTATAGTACTAACTGCAATGTTACAAAATTGTAAAACTATAATGCTTCAAAATTGAAATGTTCAAATTCATTGTTTAAAATAACTATTGTACTTGATATTGTAAATTGTCTACAGTAACTGTTACCATTAAATCTATTATAGCTTAAATAGTCTTAAGTTAATTTTAAGCCTGCCCGTAATGCTCTGCATACAAGGGGCTTTCGACATGTACACCCAACTACTGTAATACCTTGTACAACTATGTATCATGTCCTAATAAAATATTTATTATAAGAAATTTTTATTTGTAAAACAGTGTTGCTTAACCCTTTCAGGGTCCGTCCCATAGATCTACGGCTTTACGTTCAGGGTCCAAACCGTAGATCTACGCCATGAGCTCAGCTCACTCTGATAAACTGTGAGTGGTACATTTGGGCCTAGATATGAGAGAATACATCTATGTGGTATGTGTGCACCACATAAAACAGATCCTGCAGCACACTGTGTATAATGAGAGAAAAAAAAATGAAATCATGATTTTTCGATTAAAACAGCAACTTTGCAGTGTTTTTTCGTATGTTTTTTATAGTTGTATTTGCGATTTCTTGGTCTCATTTGATAGAATGGAAGACATATTACAGAAATAGAGATAATTTTGATTGGTTTTAGCACTGGAAATGGCTTGAAACTGAGCTCAAAGTAGCAGAAATGTTAAATTTTTGACGATATTCAAGAGTAAACAAACGACCTCACACGTCTAATACACGTCAGCTGGTGGGTCTAATATACATTCACAAATATGGTGATGATATTTATACAATTATTATAGTATTGCATAACAGTAAATCTTGTATTTTTTGGTGTGAATAAAAATTCATTATGTGAATAAAAAATCAAAATGGAATTTATTTGTAAAGCCTCAAAACATAACTAATGAACAGAGGAAATGTTAGTTTAGTGCCAGGAATGCCTACATTGTTCATTCTGGACCCTATTTTGAAATTGGAATATTTTGAACTTTGTGTTAAATTGGCCAAATTAACAATTTCCGATCACTTTATTTTGTAGTTGAAACAGTTGACTTGGCGATTTCTTGTGCTCAATCGATAGAATAGAAGTAATACTAGTGAAATAGCTAAGAATTTGGTTGACTGGAATAATGTAATTGGCCTAAAATGGGAGTCAAAGTCGGCAAAATCGCCGATTCGTAAATATCGCTGACACATCAAAATTCACGAGAGCATAATTTCGTCAATTTTCCACCAAATTTCGTACTTTTTGTTTTATTACCTTCACAAAAAGATTCTCTACGATTTCATAAGAAAAAATAACAAATTTTTTTTTTGAAAATTCTTGGACACTGGTGCGTGACTCCAGATTTGGGCCTTGGACCCTGAAAGGGTTAATATTATAGCCTTATTTTAAATTTGCATCACCTCTGTTAGACTTCTTGTATTAATCAAAATGACATGCTCTCAAGACTGCTAAATTTATCAGTGCATAGTGTTATTGTAGTAATTTAGATTCTTACATTATCAACAAAAAAAAGTGAATCAAACCCAATTTGAATCTAGAAAAAAATAATAAATGAATAACATTCTTTTCTTTAATCCTTTCACTGCTGACACCCCTCCCCCTCCCAATTAAAAAACTGCTTGTGTTGCAGTTGCAGTTTAAAAAAAAAAAAAAAAATTTTAACATGTCTGCGATTTCCTACCAAGGCAAGGTGACCCAAAAAGAAAAAAAAAAAACTTTCATCATTCAGCACTTTCACCATCACTCATACATAATCACCGTCTTTGCAGAGGTGCTCAGATACAACAGCTTAGACATCCCTCCAAATTGCCAATATACCAAATCTCTCCTTTAAAGTGTAGGCATTGTACTTCCCATTTCCAGGACTCAAGCCCGGCTAACAGGTTTCCCTGAATCCCTTCACAAAATACAGTGGAACCTTGACTTATGAGTTTAATCTGTTCTAGGAGCTAGCTTGTAACTCAATTTACTCATCTATCAAATTAATTTTCCTCATTTAAATTAATTGAAAAGCCATTAATTCGTTCCTGCACTCTTGAGAGACGAGAAAAAATACTTGAATATGACGCTATTATCAACTGTACAGTTTATTTATCTATCACAATTCATCTAATATGACATAATAAACAATTAGCACAGAAACATGATATATACTCTAGAATGAATAAAATAGGCCATAATATGGTGGCAGAGGCAAAATCATCTGCCATTTCTGTCCCAATTTCACTCTAGTATCTTCCCATGTTCTTACTGTAAGAGAAAACAGAGTATATTTGAGGCTAACTGCAGTAGATCACTAGGACCCATGGTTAGAAAAAAAGAAATTTGGCCAATTGACTGTAAGAAAAATGCAAACAAGCACGAGAGAACTGCCCCCACAGGGATGTAAACATGTTTACTGCTGATCAGCTGTGCCAACTAGCAGAAGCAATCTGAATTATTACTACATACGTATTATGCATTATTATATTATTATTAACCCTTTCAGGGTCCAAGGCCCAAATCTGGAGTCACGCCCCAGTGTCCAAGAATTTTCAAAAAAAAAATTTGTTATTTTTTCTTATGAAATCGTAGAGAATCTTTTTGTGAAGGTAATAAAACAAAAAGTACGAAATTTGGTGGAAAATTGACGAAATTATGCTCTCGCGAATTTTGATGTCTCAGCGATATTTACGAATCAGCGATTTTGCCGACTTTGACTCCCATTTTAGGCCAATTACATTATTCCAATCAACCAAATTCTTAGCTATTTCACTAGTATTACTTCTATTCTATCGATTGAGCACAAGAAATCGCCAAGTCAACTGTTTCAACTACAAAATAAAGTGATCGGAAATTGTTAATTTGGCCAATTTAACACAAAGTTCAAAATATTCCAATTTCAAAATAGGGTCCAGAATGAACAATGTAGGCATTCCTGGCACTAAACTAACATTTCCTCTGTTCATTAGTTATGTTTTGAGGCTTTACAAATAAATTCCATTTTGATTTTTTATTCACATAATGAATTTTTATTCACACCAAAAAATAGAAGATTTACTGTTATGCAATATTGTAATAATTGTATAAATATCATCACCATATTTGTGAATGTATATTAGACCCACCAGCTGACGTGTATTAGATGTGTGAGGTCGTTTGTTTACTCTTGAATATCGGCAAAAATTTAAAATTTCTGCTACTTTGAGCTCAGTTTCAAGCCATTTCCAGTGCTAAAACCAATCAAAATCATCTCTATTTCTGTAATATGTCTTCCATTCTATCAAATGAGACCAAGAAATCGCAAATACAACTATAAAAAACATACGAAAAAACACTGCAAAGTTGCCGTTTTAATCGAAAAATCATGATTTCATTTTTTTCTCTCATTATACACAGTGTGCTGCAGGATCTGTTTTATGTAGTGCACACATACCACATAGATGTATTCTCTCATATCTAGGCCCAAATGTACCACTCACAGTTTATCAGAGTGAGCTGAGCTCATGGCGTAGATCTACGGTTTGGACCCTGAACGTAAAGCCGTAGATCTACGGGACGGACCCTGAAAGGGTTAATTTAGGGAACTGAAGCTTTATCATTATTATAATTATTATTATTATTAATTTAGGGAACTGATGCTCTAACATTATAATAATAATAATATTATTATTACTGTTATTAATTTAGGGAACTGAAGCTCTATCATTATTATTATTAATTTAGGGAACAGAAGTTCTATCATTATTATTATTATTAATTTAGGGAACTGAAGCTCTATCATTATTATTATTAATTTAGGGAAATGAAGTTCTATCATTATTATTATTATTAATTTAGGGAACTGAAGCTCTATCGTTATTATAATAATACAGTAGAACGCCGATGAAGAATTGCTGCACAATTTTATGTAACACGTCGTATAATTAATTTAACATGGTTCAGTTTGTGGGAAGAAAAAAAAAAAATTCTCTTTTGCTCAAGCTGCTGCCTTGTTGTGTAGCAGCTGGGGAGCCATCCCCTACCACTCCCTGACACCACCCCCACCATCCCAGCATTCGTAATTCATACATGTCCAGTCTTTCTCTGCTACAAGATAGCCGAATTGTCAACTGTGTTATGATATTTTAATTACTATATTTTGTATCTGCCAAGCAATCATGATACCCAGTAGCCATACTAGTGTTGCTGAAAATGGCACAAAGAGGTATAAGCACTTAAGTCTTAGAATTAACACAGATATTAGACAAGAGATAACCTGTAGCCGTAACTGAAGTGTTAATTTGTACACAGAAAAAGAGGTTAACATGAGTTTGTGACTGATTTACTGAATGACTTGACTTATTGAGTGACTTGACTGACTTACTGAATGACTTGACTGACTTACTGAGTAACTTGACTGTAATATTATATTATTATTATTGCTGAGAAGAAAAAGAGAATGATTTCCATGGAATTAAAGCATGAAATCATAGATAAACAAGCGAGGTGTCCAGTTTTTGGGTTGAGGGGGAAGAGGGAGGGGGGAGCTGACTCGTAACTCAGAGCAAAAAATCGACCCAAGGACAGCTCGTATCTCAAAAAACTCGTAAGTTGGGACACTCATAAGTCAAGGTTCCACTGTATTACCCTGCTCACACTCCAACAGCATGTCCATTAAAAACCACTTATCTCCATGCACTCCTATCTAATGTGGTCACATAAGCCTGCTGGATGCTGAAGCTCTTAAAACTCAAAGCCTTTTTACCCCCTCCATTCAACCATTGCTGGGATGATCCCATACCCCTCCTACCTTTCACCTAAAATTTATACATCTTCTTTGTTAACCTATCCCTGTCTATCCTCTCTACTTGCCCAACCCACCTCAACAACTCCTCCTCAGACATCTGAATTATACCCTTGATGGCTTCCACATTGCCTTTTAATTTCTATGCACAATATTCACACCATGTGAAATCTCTGCTACCTCCAGCTGAAAGTGCTGGTATCAATATACTCTATTACACTCCCCTTTTTGCCTCTATTAGATATTCTTTCCTTCCACAGATGCCTCAACATACCACCTGTGAAGGCTTACTCAGCCCTGTAACAACTTCAGACAGTATTACCAAGGCTGGCTCCTCCTCAGGAAAATTAATGAATAGAAAAAGAAATAATAATTCACAAAGATAAACACCTTATTATTTATTAAAGCAAACATAAAACAATAAAACATGAAAGGTATATCCTATTTGAAAGAAAAATGAAAAATGAAATGAATAAAATAACATTTGAACTCAACGCTAATATATATAGGGGTGTCTGGTGTTGGTGACACTGAGTGTTGTTGAAATCGTAGAAGTTGCTGATGATGGGGAGGGGGGGGTCGCAGGTGTTGGTTACAACCCACCGGTTCGTTCTTCACAGTATAGCCGTGAGTATTCTATCCCGATGACAGGAAAGCAGGTTCTTTACCGCTGCAATGATGAGGGGTTACGTCCTGCAATTTCATACATGTGCACAGGTAATTAAATCCAAAAAGGGGAAGTCTCAGGACGTTAGTCCATCTCCATCAATTCTACTCGTTGATTGGCAGGTGACCCTCTCTGTCATCCAAGCTGGAAAGATAGACAGGTTACCCACTGCTTAAGAAATCACTCTCCATGATAAGTACAATACCTAAAAGATGTGGCGATTATTACAACAGTCAACTTAGAGCAAGACTGAAAGGACTAAGTTTATTATTGGTCAAAAAATGAAGCTTTCAACCAATAAATCCACTAGAATACAAGGCAGGCATGTACTTACAGTAGTGCTGGGAGCTGTGAGTCTAGTGATTACTGTTTGGACCGGAGCCCCACACGTCACCTTTTGGGGGGGGGGGAGGAGGGGAAGGGATAGCGGGAGCTAGACTGACCCTACCTTAACAAGCAGCCGGCAATCAAACTATCACTTTCAGGGTGGGGGGAAAAAAGGCGGGAATAGCGGGAGCTAGACTTACCTTACCCTAACAAGTAGCCGGCAAGCAAACTATCACTTTCGGGGAGGGGGAAAAAGGAAGGGGGGGATAGCGGGAGCTGGACTTACCCTACCTTAACAAGTAGCTGGCAATGAAACTATTGTTACTATATCGCTACTCCTACCTATTGAACTTTTCCCTCACACCACCTCCCCATATATTCTATGGTTCACCTAATCATTCATAAACCCATCTGACATGTCCACTCTCAAATATTTAAATACATCCACTTCTTCCATACTCCTTTTTTCCTCCTCCATACTCCTTTTTTCCTATCTGATATTCAATCTATCACTGCCTAGACTTGTTACCCTCATCACCTCTCTTTCTCTACATTCACTTTTAATTTCCTTTTACATCTCCTCCCAATTTCATTAACCATCCTAAAAGAACTGTGCCATGAGCAAAGAGTAACTAGATTATCTCCCACTCTGAATCAGATCTGACATCTTTCAATCACACCCCCATTGCCAAAATTTACATGATCATTCTAGAAACTGATCCAAGCAGACAATACAGCTTTAGAATCATTGGAGTTTCAGTGCAATTCATAGCTACAGGGAGTTTCATAGAAAGGAAAAAAAAAAAAAGGCAAATTATACAGTCTTTATAGGCAAGTATTTTTGTGCAAGCTTGGCAAAAAAAGTCAGATAACTCGCAGCAAGTTTCCTCTCACAATGAGGTAGACAATTTTGCTTCTATCTTCCCTACTCACCAATACCAATGCACTAACACACACACACACACACAGTAAATATTTTCCACTGGACTCTATTATAAAAAAGGGTTTTCCAAAATTCAATTTAAGTTTTTTCTCTAAATGGTTACAATGGGGGTTTCAGGTTTGGGTATTTTGGTTTACATGTTATAAAATACTAATTACGAGGGGGCCCACTAGGAACCAGATGGGGCTTTTTGGAAGATTAGTTTTAATTTTTAACTTAAGTCCTTACAGATTCTATAAAGACAAATGAGTAAGTATACAGATAAGGGTAAAATTTGCATACATGCATCTTAAATGATGAACTAAAAAAATACAAGAATGAAAGGGGAAAACCCAAAGGGAAAGATTCAGCAATATTACACTACTTGATCTTAAAAATACTGAAAAAATTGTATAATTTTACATCACTGCCCTTAGCTTTAAACCGAAGATTTATTATTGTGAAATTTAAAAAGTTTGGGAATGGGGTCTGCTCCCACCTCTTTTAAACCTTGACACTAGGTCTGATGACATCAAGCCCCCTTTCTCCCCCAGCTTGTTTGCTCCTGTTTTTAGATTTCATCATTATTTTAAATTCGTGCTAACCCTGAAAGGGCCATATAGTGTTTTTTTTTATTTTTTTATTTTTTTTTTATTTTTTTTTTTCAAAAAGTTGGTGTCTCCCCCCGAGGCGGTGACCAAAAAAAAGAAAAAAAAACCCCAAAAAGAAAAATTTCATATTTCAACACTTTCACCCACTCACACATTATCACTGCTTTTGCAGAGGTGCTCAGAATACAACTTTTAGAAGCATTAGTATAAAGATAAAACATATCCCCCAAAAACTGTCAATATCCAAACCCCCCCTTTAAAAGTGCAGCTTTGTATTTCCCCATTTCCAGGCTCAAGTCCGACATATGAAATAACCCGTTTCCCCGAAACCCTTCACTAAATATTACCCCGTCACATCCAAAGATCGTCAGGTCCCAAATATCATTCGTTCATTCACTCCCTTTAACCGCTATGCCGCTTGCTGGAAGTCCAAGCCCCCCGCCCCCAAAACCCCCTTTACCCCCCCTTTTTCCCAAACCCTTTGAGGACGCCCCCACCCCCCCCTTCCCTTCCCCCATAGATTTTTATGCTTTTATGTCTTCTACTTTGATCCCTTCTCTCTAAATGCCCAAAACCCCCTCAAAAACCCCTTCTGCCCTCTGACTAAAGCTTTTATTAATCCACCCTTCTCCTTTTCCCCACCCGAAATTTTTGCATAATTTTCACCCCCCATTGCCTTTGCAGGAACTCCACGCCTCCCAACCGTCTCCTCGCTTGGGGATTTACCCCCCGCTTACATCCATTAAAAGTTGTTGTACTACTTACTTTCATCTTCCCTTTTTGCCTCCATAGGAAACGTTTTTGACTCCACACATCCTCAAAGCCCATCACCTTTTTTTCCCTCATCAAATTTTGATTAACCCCATCCCTTTATAAATCCATCCGCCGACACGTCAACCCCAAGTATCTGAAAAATTCACTTTTCCATACTCCCCCTCCCCAATTTGATATCCAATTTCTCTTTATCTAAATCATTTTATACCCTCATCACCTTACTCTTTTCTATGTTCACTTTCAACTTTCTACTTTACACACATTCTCAAACTCATCCACTAACCTTTGCAATTTTTCTTTAGAATCTCCCATAAGCACAGTATCATCTGCAAAAAGTAACTGTGTCAATTCCCATTTTGATTTGATTCCCCATAATTTAATCCCACCCCTCTCCCGAACACCTAGCATTTACTTCTTTTACAACCCCATCTATAAATATATTAAACAACCATGGTGACATTACACATCCCTGTCTAAGACCTACTTTTACCGGGAAGTATTCTCCCTCTCTTCTACACACCTAACCTGAGCTCACTATCCTCATAAAAGCTCTTTACAGCATTTAGTAACTTACCACCTATTCCATAAACTTGCAACATCTGCCACATTGCTCCTCTATCCACTCTATCATATGCCTTTTCTAAATCCATAAATGCAATAAAAACTTCCCTACCTTTATCTAAATACTGTTCACATATATGCTTCAATGTAAACACTTGATTACACATCCCCTACCCACTCTGAAGCCTCCTTGTCTCTCCGCAATTCTACATTCTGTCTTACCTCTAATTCTTTCAATTATAACTCTACTGTAATACTTTTTCCTGGTATACTCAGTAAACTTATTCCTCTATAATTTTTACAATCTCTTTTGTCCCCTTTCCCTTTATATAAAGGGACTATACATGCTCTCCGCCAATCCTAGGTACCTTCCCCTCTTTCATACATTTATTAAACAAAGTACCAACCACTCCAACACTATATCCCCCTGCTTTTAACATTTCTGTCATGATCCCATCAGTTTCCAGCTGCTTTACCCCCTTTCATTCTACGTAATGCCTCACGTACCTCCACCACACTTACATTCTGCTCTTCTTCACTCCTAAAAGATGGTATACCTCCCTGGCCAGTGCATGAAATTACCGCCTCCCTTTCTTCTCAACATTTAAAGTTCCTCAAAATATTCTCGCCATCTACCTAATACCTCCCTCTCCCCATCTACTAACTCCCCTACTCTGTTTTTAATGGACAAATCCATACTTTCCCTAGGCTTTCTTAACTTGTTTAACTCACTCCAAAATTTTTTCTTATTTTCATTAAAATTTCTTGACAGTGCCTCTCCCACTCTTTCATCTGCTCTCCTTTTACACTCTCTCACCACTCTCTTCACCTTTCTTTTACTCTCCATATACTCTGCTCTTCTTATAACACTTCTGCTTTGTAAAAACCTCTCGTAAGCTACCTTTTTCTCTTTTATCACACCCTTTACTTCATCATTCCACCAATCACTCCTCTTTCCTCTGCCCCCACCCTCCTATAACCACAAACTTCTGCCCCACATTCTAATACTGCATTTTCAAAACTATTCCAACCCTCTTCAACCCCCCACTACTCATCTTTGCACTAGCCACCTTTCTGCCAATAGTCGCTTATATCTCGCCCTAACTTCCTCCTCCCTTAGTTTATACACTTTCACCTCCCTCTTACTTGTTGTTGCCACCTTCCTCTTTTCCCATCTACCTCTTACTCTAACTGTAGCTACAACTAAATAATGATCTGACATATCAGTTGCCCCTCTATAAACATGTACATCCTGGAGCCTACCCATCAACCTTTTATCCACCAATACATAATCTAACAAACTACTTTCATTATGTGCTACATCATACCTTGTATATTTATTTATCCTCTTTTTCATAAAATATGTATTACTTATTACCCAAATTTTCTTTCTACACATAGCTCAATTAAAGGCTCCCCATTTACATTTACCCCTGGCACCCAAAATTTACCTACTACTCCCTCCATAACATTTTTACCCACTTTAGCATTGAAATCCCCAACCACCATTACTCTCACACTTGATTCAAAACTCCCACGCATTCACTCAACATTTCCCAGAATCTCTCTCTTCCTCTACACTTTTCTCTCTCCAGGTGCATACACGCTTACTATAACCCATTTTTTCACATCCAATCTTTATTTTTACTCCACATAATCCTTGAATTTATACATTTGTAGTCCCTCTTTTCCTGCCATAGCTTATCCTTCAACATTATTGCTACTCCTTCTTTAGCTCTAATTCTATTTGAAACCCCTGACCTAATCCCATTTATTCCTCTCCATTGAAACTCTCCACCCCCTTCAGCTTTGTTTCACTTAAAGCCAGGACATCCAGTTTCTTCTCATTCATAACATCCACAATCATCTCTTTCTTATCATTTGCACAACATCCACGCACATTCAGACTTCCCACTTTGACAATTTTCTTCTTCTTATTCTTTTTAGTAATCTTTACAGGAAAAGGGGTTACTAGCCCATTGTTCCCGGCATTTTAGTTGACTTTTACAACACGCATGGCTTACGGAGGAAAGATTCTTATTCCACTTCCCCATGGATATAAAAGGAAAAGTAATAAGACCAAGAACTATTAAGATAAAATCAAAGAAAACTCATCTGAGTGTGTATAAATAAACGTGTACATGTATGTGTAGTGTGACCTAAGTGTAAGTAGAAGTAGCAAGACGTACCTGTAATCTTGCATATTTATGAGACAGACAAAAGACACCAGCAATCCTACCATCATGTAAAACAATTACAGGCTTTCATTTTACACTCACTTGGCAGGACGGTAGTACCTCCCTGGGTGGTTGCTGTCTACCAACCTACTACCTACTACTATTTATTTATATATATATAATGAGGTAGTAGGTTGGTAGACAGTAACCGCCCAGGGAGGTACTACTGTTCTGCCAAGTGAATGTAAAACAAAAGCCTGTAATTGTTTTACATGATGGTAGGATTGCTGGTGTCTTTTTTCTGCCTCATAAACATGCAAGATTTCAGGTATGTCTTGCTACTTCTACTTACACTTAGGTCACACTACACATAGATGTACTAGCATATATATAACACACCCCTCTGGGTTTTCTGCTATTTCCTTTTGGTTCTTGTTCTTGTTTATTTCCTCTAATCTCCTTTGGGAAGTGGAACAGAATTCTTCCTCCGTAAGCCATGCGTGTTGTAAGAGGCGACTAAAATGCCGGAGTAAGGGGTAGTAACCCCTTCTCCTGTATATATTACTAAAATGTAAAAGAAGAAACTTTTGTTTTTCCTTTTGGGCCACCCCGCCTCGGTGGGATACGGCCAGTTTTGTCGAAAGAAGAAAAATATATATATAGTATATCTATATATATATATATATATATATATATATATATATCTATATATATATATTATATATATATATATATATATATATATATATATATATATATATATATATATATTTTTATTAGTATTATTATCACACTGGCCGATTCCCCCCAAGGCAGGGTGGTCCGATAAAGAAAAACTTTCACCATCATTCACTCCATCACTGTCTTGCCAGAAGGGTGCTTTACACTACAGTTTTTAAACTGCAACATTAACACCCCTCCTTCAGAGTGCAGGCACTGTACTTCCCATCTCCAGGACTCAAGTCCGGCCTGCCGGTTTCCCTGAACCCCTTCATAAATGTTACTTTGCTCACACTCCAACTCCTATCAAACACGCTCATGTACACCTGCTGGAAGTCCAAGCCACTCGCACACAAAACCTCCTTTACCCCCTCCCTCCAACCTTAACTAGGCCGACCCCTACCCCGCCTTCCTTCCACTACAGACTGATACACTCTTGAAGTCATTCTGTTTCTCTCCATTCTCTCTACATGTCCAAACCACCTCAACAACCCTTCCTCAGCCCTCTGGACAACAGTTTTGGTAATCCCGCACCTCCTCCTAACTTCCAAACTACGAATTCTCTGCATTATATTCACACCACACATTGCCCTCAGACATGACATCTCCACTGCCTCCAGCCTTCTCCTCGCTGCAACATTCATCACCCATGCTTCACACCCATATAAGAGCGTTGGTAAAACTATACTCTCATACATTCCCCTCTTTGCCTCCAAGGACAAAGTTCTTTGTCTCCATAGACTCCTAAGTGTGGAAATTAGGAGAAGGTGTGGAGTTAATAAAAGCATTTGTCAGAGGGCAGAAGAGGGGTTGTTGAAGTGGTTTGGTCATTTAGAGAGAATGGATCAAAGTAGAATGACATGGAAAGCATATAAATCTATAGGGGAAGGAAAGAGGGGTAGGGGTCGTCCTCGAAAGGGTTGGAAAGAGGGGGTAAAGGAGGTTTTGTGGGCGAGGGGTTTGGACTTCCAGCAAGCGTGCATGAGCGTGTTAGATAGGAGTGAATGGAGACGAATGATACTTGGGACCTGACGATCTGTTGGAGTGTGAGCAGGGTAATATTTAGTGAAGGGATTCAAGGAAACCGGTTATTTTCATATAGTCGGACTTGAGTCCTGGAAATGGGAAGTACAATGCCTGCACTTTAAAGGAGGGGTTTGGGATATTGGCAGTTTGGAGGGATATGTTGTGTATCTTTATACGTATATGCTTCTAAGCTGTTGTATTCTGAGCACCTCTGCAAAGCAGTGATGTGTGAGGTGTGGTGAAAGTGTTGAATGATGATGAAAGTATTTTCTTTTTGGGGATTTTCTTTCTTTTTTGGGTCACCTGCCTCGGTGGGGGACAACCAACTTGTTGAAAAAAAAAATATATAATATATATATATATATATATATTATATATATATATATATATATACACACAACACACACACCACACACACACACACACACACACACACACACCACACACACACACACACACACACACACACACACACACACACACACATCAGTGAAGAGGCTGGGCCAGGAGCTATGACT